TTTACTTTTGCATGTGTATTACGTGAATTTATTTTATCATTTTTACAAGTGTATTTCTGATATATTAATTCATTGGTATTATGATAATGATGATGAGGCGGATGAGGATAATGATATGAGCAAAGTGTTTTCGGGCGAAGATGATAATTTGGAATTACCCAATGATAAGGTAAATGATATTAGTTTAATGCTTTCTGATGAAGATGCACAATATTACTATGATTTAAGTAGTGGTAAAACATATAAAAAATAAGATCATTTAATTACTGTATATTAACAATAAGATGTATCGTAACACTGCAAATATTTATACATACGCTCACATGATTTTATTTATGAAAAGTAAGCGATATTTTTTAATGCAAATAAATTAAATAAATTTATTTTCCAATGGAACGTATATTATTACATGTATTTTTTTCTGGTAAAATGTTTAATGCATCAAAAAATTATATTTCCTCCTCGTTTATAGATTCCATATTAGATAATTCTTGACTAGCCCCTGCATCCAGCATACTAACATTATGAGATAAATTAGAATCGTTATAACTCTGATTTATTTCAGAAGAATTAATATTTTGTACTTTATTTGTGGCCTCATAGGGGTGGAGGTTGAAGAGGTATTGTTTCAATATTTTGTTTGGAATTTCCCACATCAGGATTGTTTGTATTAATGTTGATTTCATCATGAGTTAAAGATATATATGGTGATTGTCTTTGACTCCTCCTATTAACAACAGATGAACTCCGTTCTCTCACCTCTTCTACAATATTTATATTACTTGTATTATTTCAGCTGTCAACCTCGCCCCTTCTACTAGGAACTCTTCGGGTGGGAGATGCAGATTGATCCCTTTGACCTGCGGAAGATTCACTACGACTCGAACCTATCATTGATGTTAATTCATTATAAGTTAGTGGTGGAGTACGGTTACAGCGTCTTTCTTGGACACGTCTCGTGGCAATGTTTGAATTATGAATCATATCAAATGGTGTTTCTATTCCCATATCCAGTAAAAAAAATTAGCTTGTTTACTTTGCAGATATATGATGCACAATTCCCGATGTTTGAATCAATAACAAATACTTCTTGATTTATGATCTTACGTAGTTTCTACCAGAAGTGAGTTTGAAATTCCTCAAAATATCATTCACCAACTTTGCTTCGACATCCAGAATTATTTCTGCCATATATTGGCACATTAACTAGTATGAATTGCCGAAGACAGTCACGTAGTGGCTATAATGTAAGTATGATTTGTATTAAATGATATTATAATATTTTATATACTTACATTATGGTCTCTCACGAGATTTTGAAATTTCGACTTGCAATTATACCCTGTGTATGCCGTTCCAAATTGTTCTTTTATTTTATTCACAATGCTATCCCAGAAATTCATGCTATTTCCAACGATACTATGATATTCTGAATTTCTGCTTTTTCGTTCGCTAATTAATAATCGCAAATGATCTTCCGTTCACATGTTTTAGGTCGAGCTTTATATTGCTACTGGGTTCTGTTAAAAATTATAAGGGGTTGTAATACATAGTCATGATTAATTCGAATTGTCATTACGTCCGAAATTTTGTATGGAAAAATTAATGTAGAGGAAAAGTGGATCTTTGATCAGCAGAAAAAAACTAATTTTGTGGTGATCCCTTTAATTGGAGTGATATACATAGAACATGATTGGCTAAAATCATAAATGTATATCACATGATACTAACTCTGAGATGCAAAATGATTATTTTTTTGATAATCTATCCAAAGTATCAATAACGAAGCTTATTTAATAGAACTCTTTATGAGTAGAGAAGTGTATATTTACAAATTTTTTAAATTCATTGAACATATATTGTATATATTGTATAAATTGTAGTTTTATTTAAGGAATATTTAAATAATATATTTAGAGAAGGTTAACTTTATAATAATTGTAATAAGCATAAAAATTTATTAAAATAATTTATATTTAGGAAAGGTTGACTTTACAATAATTACAATAATACAAAAATTTATTATTTTTTTATCTTTATAATAGATATAATTACATATTATTTTAAAATTTGTTTTTAAGATATCTCGTGTATAATTCTGATGTTACGAATGATTTTGCAAAGTATCATAACTCAAGGTTGTAGTTATTAGTGTAACACTTATATGGTAACAAAAATTATATATATTCATTATATAAAAATTTGTGTAACATAATCATCAAAAAAATGAACTTCTATTATATTCTATTATATTGACAAATAAGTTTTTAAATTTTATTTATAGATCTTTTATCACATGAGCTAGAAATTTTGTAACATTATTGACTTGTATTCTTTCACATGTTATGCTGATATAGAGAAAAGATAAAAAAAAACTTCAATTTTATTATTTTTTTAATAAAATAATTTTATAATTTTGAAGATTTTTTTTATAATAATATTATTCAAATCTATTTGTGATAATATTTTTTGTGATTTGATAATTTTTTTTTTATAAAAAAAATCACTTTAATAAATACAATTTAAAAATATCACGTTGTTACTATTTTTTTTCTCTTTTTTGTCATCATCACATTTTCACTTTTGTTCTTTTGTTACTTTTAATTTTCATCTATATAATCTCTCTTTCATTTGTCACTACCTTCTTCTTCTCCTCTTTTTCTTTTTCTGAGATTACTTATCAATACTTATTACCACTTATCTTCACTTATTTACTTACCTTGTACTACTCACTTCATTTTTGCTCTCTCTACCATCCCCTTTGTCCCGAACTCATCTTAAAAATCTTGATTCTTTCTTATCTTTCTCCATATATATTTATAATTTCTTTCAGCTATACCAGTCACATGCTACATAACTTTTGATATACTGCAGACTATACATGTTTTCAAAATTGATTTTGAATTTTTGAGGTATTTTGACTTTTTGAAATTTATACAAAATCTATTCTATATATGGAAGTAAAAAAGTACCTAGTTATATGTATCTTTAATTAAAGAATAAATCTAGGTGGTCAAAAAATTTCAGGTTTTAAGTAAAATAATTTCGTCTTCTATGAAAAACTATTTCGACTTTTTTTCCCGAAATTGTAATTTCAAGGCTCCAAAATAATTTTGCGTGCAAGTATACTACAAACTGCGGATACTGCTATATGCTGTAGATTACTGTAGAAAACACTATTTTATTTAGATAGTGACCACTCACTAAGGTGAAGATGTAAATGTTTTGAATTGACATTATCTTTACAGTGGCCAAGAAGCTAAGCAAGATCAAAACTAAGTTCATTTTATTATTTTTGTTCTTTTTTTTTTTTCTTTTTTATCTTCTTTCATTATGTAATCAATTAATAGATTAATTTATATTTTTAGAATAGAATTGAAATAACTATAAAAGTAGCTTTAATTTTTATTCCTCATATAATAATAATAACAAGAACAATAATAAAGATATTATTAATAAAATTGTCTTTATATACTTTGATTAATCTTTTAGATAGTTTTTGAGTGAAAATATGATAAATTTCTTTATTTCTTTGTTTTATTTATTTTCTTCTTGTATTTTTTTTTATTTTCTTTAATTCTTTTTCTATAAATAAATTATATACATGCTTATTTCTCTTCTTACATTTGTTCTTAAATAAAGTCTATATTCTATAATCCAGAATTTTAAAACTTTAAAATAAATTATTGATCTTTAATTTCTTTGTTCAACTGTCATGCGACTTAGTCAGAATTTACCTTTTACATTCTTTAAATTTATCTATCCTTTAAATCTTTATCAAGTTCTAATAAAATTATTTTATTTTATTTTCTATTTTCTTTAGATTAGAATTTGCCATATTTTCTTTTCTTTATATTCAACATCCTTTCATTGTAATTATTTTAATTTGCTTTCTTCTTGTCTTACCCAGTTTTTTTATCTTTTATTATCCTATAATATGAAATATCAGTTACTTTAGTATTATTTATCTTTCTATACTCTCAAAATCCATTAATAACTATTAGACTAAACCCAAATATTTTGTTGTACTTGTCCTCTCGCTCTCTCAACAAGTAGTATCAACATCTAACAAAAAGTAAAAAATGATCAATGAAAATATATAAAAGAAAAGCTGTACATTATTTTAAACATACTATTGATGGTATAGATTATGATAATATCGATGAATTAGAAAGCTCCAATATTAATGAATTAAAAGGTTCCGATATTAATAATTTCTTTGATGATTATTACAATAAATCAACAAAAAATAATAATACTGTAAATATTGTAACAAGACTTTAAGAAGTAATAAAAAATATCACAAAAAACATGTCTCTCACAAAGTACATAAATTCCTTTATATAAGAAACTCATGTTGTATTGTAAGAAGAAAGAATCATTAACAGTATGAAGTAGCAAAAGGAACTTTTACATTGCATACATTTTGAAATACTAAAGAATTTATCAAGAAAATTAATAATAATGATGATGACTTGTTGGATGATGAAATTGAGAATTATAATTGGAATAATGAACACTGGTCAAATTGTGGAAAATCAGCACCTATCATACACCTATTGGATATCTAATAGGTATACGATAGATACCTGATTTTTAATAAATTTTAATATATCAGGCTTCTGATAAGTAGAGTAAGTGTATCGAAGTTTGAGCACATATCGGACACATATTAACAGATATTGGACACATATCGAACTCTAATTTTTTGGCATTTTTTTCAAATATATTATACACTTGTTGGACACCCGATTTCATTTATTTTTTATTGAGCACATATCTTCAATATATCAGTATAGTATATCAGATATATATCAGTTACTTTATATTTCTCAATATCAGAAGCTTTCACTGGTTGAAAATTGATAAATAATACACATATCAGATACCCGATATGTGCATGGTACGTCCTTAATATCGGACATATATTGGATACCCGATATGTGTAGAAAATATTTTATATATATATCGAGTACCTGATAAGTGTAAAAAATATTTTCTATACATATCGGGTATCCGATATATGTCTGATATTAGGAACATACCATACACATATCAGATACCCGATATGTGTATTATTTATCAATTTTCGATCAGTGTTTTTTCTTACTATTGGATACCTATCGGTAACTTTTATTTATATATTTTCATTTTCTTATTACTGATAATCACATTTTTGTTTATTATTATAAAATATAAAAGAAATATATTATTTATTAATAAAAAATATAAAATGAAAAACGTTATACATATTATATATTGTTAATTATACTATTTA